GGGTGACTGGTGTGTGTTGGGGAGCTGCAGGTCCCCTGTCTCTGACACAGGTGTGTCTGGGCAAACACCAAGGTTTGAAGGGGTGGGCACCTGTGTGTATGTGTGTGTGCACGTGTGGCAAAAGGCTTTGCTGCGTGGCTTTTGTGTGGGTCTGTCTTTGAGTGTCACATGTGCCTCTCTGTGTCTCTGGGAGTTTCCGTGTGTCAGGTCGTGTGTCCGTTGTGTGGGCGGAGAGATAGCTCTGTGTGGGGCCCTGAGCCATTGCAGGATCCCCACAGGCCACGCAGAGGTGCGCACAGCAGCTGACCTAAGCCTGCTCCTCCCAGAACATCAGGCCGCACCCAGGCCACCGCTCACTCCCTCTGTCTCCCGAGACTGCTCCTCACTGCCTGCCTCGCTGGCCCTGGTGAGGGGGAGGCTGCCTGCCCCCGGCCCCCACAACAGAGCCACAGATGAGGATGCCACCCGGCACAGTCTCCAGGGGCTGCTCCCCAGTGGGTGTCCCGCAGCGCGTGCTCTCTGACCCCTTTTGTTTCGGTGCTGTCCTTTTTAGTGTGTGGCACCAGGACGGCAGGGAGCTGCCACCTCAGGCTTCTCTTATTTTCACTCTGTGAGTAATCAGCTCCGAATGAGAGGGGCTCATTGTGTCTTTACTGTCCAATCAGTCAGGCCTTGGCCCTGGCGTGTCTTGCATGTGCTTGACCAATGTACTGCCCGTGGGGTCTGGTGGAGGCACAGCACCCTTTTGGAAGACAGGGTCTGTGCAGACCAGTTACGGGTGACATTTCCTGGGCACAGCTCTTGCCTAAGAGGTGTGGGATGGGAGGAGGGCAGGGCCTCCCACTGTCCCACCAGCAAAATGGGCAGTGTGGCCAGCTCCTCAGGACCCCAGAGCATTTGCTCCAGGTAGATAAAATGTTGCGGTGTTGGGTGCAAGAATAGGATTGAAACCAGCCACCCAGTTGGTGCTTTGTTACCATCAGAAGTGTTTGCTGAGTCAAAGCAAATGGCCACTCAAAACCGAGTGGGCTGAGTGTGGTGACTCACACCTGTAATCCCAGCACTTTGGGAGGCCAAGGTGGGCAGACGGCTTGAGGCCAGGAGTTCAAGACCAGCCTGGGCAACAGGGCGAGAGCCTGTCTCTACAAAACGTTTAAAAAATTAGCTGGCGTAGTGGCATGTGCCTGAAGTCCCAGCTACTTGGGAGGCTGAGGTGGGATCGCTTGAGCCCGGGAGGTCCAGGCTGCAGTGAGCCGAGATTGCATCACTGTACTCCAGCCTGGGCGACAGAGCAAGAACCAAATAATAAATAAATAAGTAAGTAAATCCATCCATCCACCCCAGAGTGAGTCAGCTGGGGCTGAGAAGGCATGCCTGCTGCTGCGTTGCTCCTCCCTGAACGACAGGATTCCCTGGTTCCAGCCAGGAGACGATGGTCAACAGCCACTGCTATAGCGGTGCCCAGTTAAAACTCTTTAGTTCCTGTTTCTGTAAAAAAAAAAAAAAAAAAAAAAAAGTGTCTAATTGCATCTGGGTACAAACTTTGCAGTGACGAGAGAAAAAGAGATGAAAGCGACCTGTGAGGGAGGCTCGGGTTGGCATGCGGCAGGTGCTCTGTGAGTGTGGTGGGTGTCGGTTTGCGCTGTAGATGCTCAGGAAGTGAGGAGCTGTGGAGTGCTGACTGTGTACATGACGCCTCCGCTGGCTGACCCAGGAGAGTTTCATGAAACAATGTTGGCGGACTCAGCCCTGAATCCCTCAGGCAGGCAGAGAGCAACCTCTGTCTTTTTTTTTTTTTTTTTTTTTGAGACAGAGGCTCGCTGTGTTGCCCAGGCTGGGATGCAATGGCGTGACCTCAGCTCACTGCAACCTCCGCCTCC